ACAAAAGATATCAATTATATTATTCAAACACAAATTAAACGGCATTCATGCAATTAAACCGAAAAGAATCTAGCCATACATCATGATTAACCCCTTCATCAATCCCAAATCCCTAATTAAAACTACTCACAATTCATAATTGAAGAATCAATAGAATTGGAATAAAAAGAATTAATTGTCATTAATTAAAAAGGTGGAACTTACAAAGAATTCCAAAAGATTGATGAACAAGGCTGAAAAGCCCTCTAAAATTCATGCTAGGCACTCTCTCTAAGCCCCCCTTTAAAACGGGGGTTTACAGGCTGTTTAAATAGAAAAATCGGGTGAAATTTGAGTTGAATTAGGATTTTCGGAGCCAGACACGATGCTAGGCACGATCGTGCCTTCGATCGTGCCTCCGGAGCAAAAACGCGCATTTTGGGCAGGCACGATCGTGCCTCCCTCCAGGCACGATCGTGCCTGGCAGGCAGTAACTTCGTGGTGCTTTTCTCTCCAGGCACGATCGTGTCTGACTTTGAGGGCACGATCGTGCCTACTTAACTTCCGAATTTGACAAAACTTCCTTCATGAAAGTTGTAGATAATGAAGTCCTCTATCCACCCCAATTTGCGGAATGTGATTTGAATCATCCAATCAAGAGATATGATCAAAACGGTGGAAGGTGTCTTTCTGAAATCGCAGCAGAGATCATCTGACTTCATCGTCTGTTTTCACCTTCTTCCTCTCAGATTCTCGCAATGGTGTCTTCATATGATTTGTAGCCCTTGAAGTTGGCTTTCCTATGGAACTTGAATCGTGTACATTGGATGTTTCTACAAAGAGATATGCTTGAAGGATTGACAGAAGGTCATCCTGATCGTTGTTTTCAAGCTTCATTCATCTTCTTTTGACCCCGTAGCCAATCCTAGAGCTTTTTTTCCTTCAAATCTTCATCGTGAATCTTCCGGTGACCTCCAAAGCTCTCAAATCAATATCAAATGCTTCTCAACTCATCCCCATTTCTCCTCAAGCGCCAGTGCCGAACTCTAAAATCCTTATTTTGACTCCAAATGACACAAAACTCGAACCAACGCCTGTTAAACATAACTTGATCTAAAATTGAGACTTGTAACACCTTAAAGCTAGGAAAACCATCAAAATCCGATCTCAACACACATCAAATGCGTGTCAAAATACGGACTTATCAGTAGCTTATTTGTATTATTTAATAGGGATGAAAGTTGATATCATACATGCATATGTGTGTTCACAAGTTAATACGTTTAGTCTAGCCAAAAGTAAATATGTTGGATTGTTTCATTTCTTTATTTTTACTACGGAGTACCAAGTTGAGTAAAATGTAAGAACCTAACTCACTATTAAAATTTAAAAATATGTATTTCATACAATGTTGAATGAGAAATATTAGAAACATGTTATTTTGAAATGTTCAATAAAGTAATCTAGACGTTCATAACAATTAAAAATCATTTTCAATGTGACGAAATAATGAGTAAAATGTAAAAAAAACTCCAATTTTTACATTTTCAATGTGATGAAATAATGAGTCAAATGTAAGATCTTACCATTAAAAGTTAAAAGTAAATACTTCACAGTTCATACCAAGTTCAATGAGGAATATGAAAAAAATTGAGGTGCATAATAAAATAATTTAGAATACATGAGATTAATTAAGAAGCTTCTCTGTGAATTCTTTAAAATTGGGTTCACCACAATTGTGATTAGTTGAGATGCTTATGTAAAAGATCATTTTGAATATTTTTCATATAATTGTCTCTTTATTTTACAAGTGAAATATTTTTTATTTTTTTTCATGATTCGAGAGATTCTGCCTATTCAGCCCATTCAAGTGATTCAACCCGAATTTAATCAATTTCAGTCAAATAAGCTGATTTCACTAATTTTACTACGAGTATTATCAAACGAACTCTATATTTAGATTGAGTTTATTTTTCTTTTGCATCACATTATATATGATTTCGAAAATATCAAATTTAAAATTAGCTCAATTATGTACTACTCGTGCATCGCACGGGCTTGAAACCTAGTTTTAAATCTTTAAAAACAGGTGCATAACCCTTCTAAAATTCACCAAGAGATAATTTCATTTTTATTTAAGATAAACCATCACAACCTTTATTTGCATATAATACACGCTCGATTTTTAAAGAACCACACCAAAGCACTACATGCAGTCTAATAGTAACAAAGTAAGCATAGTAAAAAATTGGTTCAACGATTCTTCAACGTAACAACAAAGTAATTAATACTTCATATAATTTAAAATGACTATAGAGATATTATGGAGAGGGTTATCAAAGGTTAAAAACGTTTTCAGCATTAAAAGATAATTTAATAGTCATAATTTTAAAGTCACTAATGTTAGAATTTCCCTAAGTTGATCAAATACTTTTACGAACAATTAAAGGGAAGGGTAGCCTTGTATTAACAAGTTAAAACTGAAATGAAATGGATGACCATGTCCTACAATATACATGTTTTTTGACAACTAAAAAAATTATCTGGTTGTTCCATTAATAGTGTAAGACCTTCTCATATGTCATACCAGTATGGAAAAGTAGAATGCAAATAAATACACTTTTATTCAACCAAGAAACTTAAACAATTAAGTGAGTCGGTCAAAATCTCAATCAAGTGAAATTGTCATTAAAATATGAAATTTTATATGATGTGAGCTTAAACTTAACAACCATTTCGTCAGATCATCCCCTATAGGACTATAGGAGGATAAACCTGTTTTTTTTAATTCACAAATGTGTGTGGTAGCCTCAATATCTACCACTATTCATTCACACATCACTTGTCAATTTGAAAAATTAATCGCACCAATTATATCATCACCACCAACAAAGTTTACACTTTATTTTGGTGGATTGTTTTCCCCAAAACTTTCATTATCTAAGAGTGACTTTTTGAACAAAACCTATATAAAAAAACATACCATAATTTTGCCCATTGTTGGGAGCTAGAAATGTAGTCGTACTTTTGGCGTCACTAGTCACAAGAAGTGTGTCCGCCACATTGACTGTTCCGTAGCTGTAATTTTTGTTCGCCAAATAATTCCTTAGATTGTTGGCTCTATCCTTCCAAAATCAACGTGTTGACCGTGTTGCTCCTAAGTTGACCTCGTTGACCATCTAGCTCCGAGAATTGACCTGCAGATAATCACTAAAAAGAAATAAAAAATTTATTAGACGCTCGAGACGCGTCAGACGTTGTCCTAAGGAATTATTTCCGGCGTACGGAAATTTCCCCCAGGATATAACGAGCTCTTCGGTTATAAAGCAGGTACCAGAACTAACGAGAAGAAAATAGTATATGAACCCATCAATCAAAATTATAATTTGTACTGTATATATTTCTCACGTAAATGTAGTGTATGTTTTAGGTGTACGTATGCTTTATAGCCTCTGCTCTCATCACAACTCGCACTGGATCTCCTAGGAGTGAAGATTATATAGTACGAATTAGTAGTCCAAGACTTTTCCTTTCACCAAAACAATAAATATAATTTAATGGCACAATAATAAAAAATTAAGTTAGACAATTAATACTTGTAAACGGATAGTGAAGCTTAAGTGTAGAGTTGCCTCTACGTTACAAATACTAAATTAATAATGAGTGAATATTGGCTTTGTTTGTATTAAAGTCTCAAACACATGAGATGAAGAAAAATTGGCTGATTAAAACCGTTAACTTAATTAATTTAAAACAATATCAGATTTTAATTACCAACATCCATGAAAATAAATGATTGTTTTGCATATATAAATACATATATAAAATAACAACTTAAAAGTAAAATTTTATTCATTTGAAATAAACTCAAATTTCCCAACAACAAGTACATGACTAAAAGTATTACGGAGTATTACCATGATAACATTTGGACTTAAAAATGTAGCTTTTTAGAAAGTCCAAAGCCAAAACTTGAAATGACCTCGTGTTCAAAGAGAAATGAAATTTAGGATGTTTTTACTTGGACTGTAATTTGCCCCAGACCAGACCAGACCAGACCAGTCCAGATCAGACCAGACCAGTTCAGACCAGACCAGACCAGACCAGACTTGGATAGTTATAAAAATACAAAGAAACCAGACCTTACCAGACCAGACCAGACCAGTTCAGACCAGACCAGACCAGATCAGACCAGACCAGACCAGACCAGCAAATTACAGTCCAAGTAAAAACATCCTTACACTACATATTGTAAAAAATTGAGTTTGCGCCATTCCAAAATCAAACTAAAAAATAAAATCTAATAATTTTTTTGAAGGAAAAAAGTAGAAATAATTACACAAATATAATCAAAATAAAGATGATTTACAAAAATATGACTAGTGACTAGAGTAGTAATGAAATCATAGTAATTCATGTTCAAATTTTGAGCTTAAGTTACCACAAAACCACATTGTAGTAATGACTAATCATATTTATGTAAATATGTTTTTATTTTAGTAATATTCTTGTAAAAAACCCAAAAAAGTACAAGAAATGACTTTTTTTTTTTTTTTATATAAGCTTAAGACGTTTTTATTTAGATTTTTATTCCTATCCCATATCAAACCATTTGTAATCCCATCAGATTTAAACGTATCATATCATTAATATATCAGACCAAATGATATCAAATCAGCCCAAAACTAGATAAAAGTCTAAATAAAAACAACTTTAATTTTAAAGAAAATCAGGCTCGAAATCAGGCTCCTGCTCGAACTCAGAAGCAGAAGCCGCCAAATATAGGGAGTGTTTGCGATTGCTTCAACTTTAAAAAGTGGGGTTTTTAAGTGATTTTAGAGAAAGTGATTAAAAGTAAAAGTTGGGAGTGTTTGGAAATAGAAGTGCTTAACGTGAAAAAGTTAAAGTTGGAGTGTTTGATAAAAAAAGTGATTTTAAATGGTATATTTTGTTAAACTACAAAAATGCCCTTCATTGTAAAACATTTTGGAGCATCTCTCCGTTGCCCAACTTCAACGCATCTCTTCGTTCCATTTAGAAGTGGAATTGCAGGAACCAAACATTTTGGAGTATCTATCCTACTGCCGTGCAATTGCTTCATTCAATCGGAGTAAAAGATTAGAAAGCCATATGGGGTGCCATCTCTCCTCCGGCTTCCTACAATTGTCAATTGCTTCCACCATTGAATTTTGTTTCTGCAATTCCTTCCTCTCTTGATCGAAATTGGTTGTTGCAATTCCTTCCTCTGTTGAAAAGCATCACAGTGAGCACAACGAGTTTGATTTTGAAGCCATCTATGGCAGTATGCCCAAAAGATCTCAAAGTCATCCTGTTGCGGCGGCCGGTGGTCCTGTTCACGGCTGCCTCAGTTAACGTCATCCTCGTGTATTCCTTCTCTTGTGCTTCTTGTTTTCTAGTCTAATCTAATAAAATAAGTATATTTATATAATTATATTTATACGAAATGACCAGATGGAGCTTGAAAGAGAGACACGGAGTCTTTGGTACGGAAGGAGTACCGACGAGAGTTCAGAGGAGATGAGGGGTATATTTGGTCCAAGCTAAATACCCTTTCCATTATAACCCTCCTGATGTTTGAATTAATTACAAAATAACCAATAAGTAATTAAAAGCTATCCAACTCCAGCTTCCAACTTTGAGAAAAGGGGCAAATAAGGTCATGTACTAACAAAAAAAGGTCAAATAAGGCCTTATTTAGGAGACTTTGTCTGGCCATCGCCATTTGAGGTGGTTCCCGGTGGATTTTTTTTATGAAATTTTTTGAGCATCTCATTCATTAAGTCTAGTTTACTCATACCAAATTTCAGCTAAAACTTCAATCGGGAAGACATTCAAATGAATTTTTGTAGATAACTGCACATTTAAAAGCGCATTTATCTTCAAGAATTCATTTGAATGACTTCCCGATTAAATTGTTAGTTGAAATTTGGTATGAGTAAACTAGACTTAATGAATAAAAAGCTCAAAAAATTTCATCAAAAAATTCCTCTGGGAAACAGCCCAAATGGCGACGACCGGACAGAACCTCCTAAATAAGGCCTTATTTGATCTTTTTTTGTTAGTACATGACCTTATTTGCTCATTTTCCCTCCAACTTTTGGATTTAAAGTGTTCTTTTAAGTAGAAATGAAGATTTGCAAACACTACTTTCTACTTTTTTTTTAAGCTAGAAGCTCAAAAGCACTTAATTTAGGGTATGTTTGGCACAACTAGCTGAAAAGATACTTTTGAGAACTTTTTAGTAACTGTTAGCTTTTAGTGACTAAAAAGATCTTAAAAAGAAAATGTGGTAGCTGTTTGGTAAAAAGCTGACTGTTTGATTTAGTTCGGTTTGGTATACAAGCTGTTATGACTAATTAATACTAAAAGTCACAGGCTTTTCTCAGATGCTACACCCAGTAGCATCTCAAAAAAGAGCTTTTATATTTTGAAAAGCTCTTAAAAAAAGTCATGCCAAACATACAACTAGAGTCTTTTAAGAACTTTTTAAAGAATAAAGAAGCTATAAGCTAGAGACTTTTGCATACCAAACATAGGCTATGTTTGGCGGACATAAGTCTCTAACTTCTGGCTTTTGTACTATTTAAAAAGTCTCTAAAAGCTGCTAGTTGTTTGTTTGGCATGCCGAATTTTAAGAGCTTTTCAAAAAATAAAAGATCTTTTCTGAGATGCTACAGGTAGTAGCATTTAAGAAAAGCCTGTGACTTTTAGCTTTAATTAATCCTAACAGCTTGTATACCAAACAGAACTAAATCAAACAGTCAGCTTTTTACCAAACAGCTACCACCTTTTACTTTTAAGATCTTTTCAGTCACTAAAAGCTATCAGTTACTAAAAAGTTCACAAAACGATCTTTTCAGCTAATTGTGCCAAACATAGTCATAGCCTTAATGAAATGCAAACACTGCTATAGTAGCTCTCATTTGTCAAATCTGTGAATTTGGAGCTCGGTCTGAATGAATGGCTCTGTTAAGAGCTTTCTCCCCCTCTACTTCTCTGCTTAGTCACTCGGTGCGATTAATGGCAAATCGCTGTTTTCTGACTCACTCTCACACCTGCGTTCCTTTTCTCTCTCCCTTATTCGCTGCTTCCCGCCCGTCCCTTCTTCTTACCAACTTCAGGTATACGTATATTCTTTTTCTTTTTGCATTAATCTTGTAGTTTTCTGAAGCCTTGATTAGTGGGGTGCTAAATTGTTGAATACCGCAATTTCCTATCCACAAGAGGGAAGTTACTCGTTCAAAAATATTTATTGTGGCTTTACGTGAGATATATTTGGCTATTGTTCCGGAGCAATACTACGAGGTGTATGCAACCTGGATAAGGAGGGATTACCTCCTCCAATTGTGCGTTGTTTGTTTGTAAAATGTTATGCTACTGTATCAGGAGAAATGCTAGCTTGAGATGGCATCCAAATAGAGATTTACTTAGCAGTGTTCGATGTACTAAATCTTTAATGGCATCAAGCATTGCCATGGAAGCTTTTAGAGAAGGAACTGGCTCAAAAGATTATGGTTCCGAACAGATTCAGGTGACGATTGATCTTTGTGTGCAGAAGTTTCTAACTTTAATTTGTCCTTGAGCTATATGCTTTATCAAGTAAAAATTCAGATGCAATAAACGATTGGGTGTTAGGATGTGGACCGTTTTACTATTAAGTTCAATGTAGTCACCAAATGGATGTAATTAATAAACTGCATGCGTATTGCGTACACTCTCTATGAAATTTAGAGTTTCTTTTGTGAACTAACAAAGTGCTGATAAGCCATTCTCATCCACCAAACACATTTCTCTTAGGTTGAACCGTTGAATTGTCAAACGACTCAAACCTGATGGGATTCATACCAATCAGGCATGGTGATTATGTCTGACAAACATTTCGTTATATTTATTGATCATAAATGTGGAGTTTTATCTTAGGATATTACATGGGTTATGTGCTGTTTCATACTGAGTAAATACTCCTATACATGTTTCTTATCAATTGAGTTACTTTCTACTGTACCGTTTTTCCTTTTGTCAAGACAAAAAATGAGAGAAATTGTAAGAAGAAGGATCTTTATGTGTCCATATTTTTCTGTATCCGTCTAATAATTGTTTAAATATATATACCACCTTGCTCTATTAGAAGAATGTTGTAAACCTTTTTTATATCAATTTTTTAAAACCTTATTTCATTTTAGATTTTGCAAGGTTTAGATCCTGTTAGAAAAAGGCCTGGAATGTATATCAGAAGCACTGGTCCTCGTGGACTGCATTATCTGGTATGCAAGATTTTACTTTTGATTGTTTTTTTTCATTATTTCGAATATTACATGTTCATCTCTCTCCATCCGTCCTATTTGAACAAAGTGAGAACATGTAATATTCCAAATAGGAATGTGAAACAAAGTAGGATGGAGAGAGTAACATTGAATATTCCAAATAGGAATGTGAACCCAAAAATGAAAGTGATAAAACTAGTATGAAACCAATGGATCATCATCATCATTTATTATTTATTGTTATAATAATAATAATAATTATGATTATTTTCATCATGATCATACCAACAACCATCATCATCATTCTGTTTGGTTGTTCTCTCTATTTGACTGTTCGATGATTTTTATGCAGAATTGTATTAACGCCGTCCCAGTTGGAATCTCTCCATTCTCGCATTTGTTCACCATCCTCATCAATTCGGCTAGTTTTTCTAAATCAAGAGAAACTCAACCCTCTCATTCTGTAGTGGACCAAAGGATTTTGAATGAAATAATTTCTAAAATGGAGGAGTCACCGTCTGCTGGATATGAAATATGTCATGCATACACTCATAAACTATGCAGTAATGGAAATGTTCATGGTGCTGCTATGCTGATGCAGTCTCTGCATGAGAAAAATATTTTCCTTGGCCCATGTGCATACACTTGCCTCATCGAAGCAGCTGGTGAGCAGAATGATGTAAATATTGTTTGTCAAAGTTTCAAGCATTTGTTGGGGTCGTGTGAATCAATCGATTCAACTTCCTATCACATCCTCGCCAAAGTATTTATAATGAAAGGTGATGATGCGGGCTTACTTGGATTTTGTAGAGAAGTCTGTGACCTAATACCTCAAAGAAATGTGACAACTATGAACAGGATTATCTATGCCTTTGCGAAGCATAGACAGGTGGAAAAGGCTATGTTGGTTTTTGGTCAAATGAAAACATCAAACTGCAAACCAGATTTGGTCACTTATAATACTGTTTTATATATTCTTTGCCAGACGGGTAGAATAGATGAAATGCTCCATGTGTATGCATCCATGAAGGAGGAAAATTTTGTTCCAGATATAATTTCTTTCAACACTCTAATAAATGGGTTCCGGAAGGTAGGCAGATTAGAGTTATGTGGACTTTATTTCAAGGAAATGCTTGAGAAGGGAATTGAACCGGATTTGCAAACATATACTGCATTGATCGATACCTTCAGCAGATCAGGGAATATTGAGGAATCATTGAGACTTTTCAATGAGATGAAACACAATGGGATCTCCCCATCTATTCAAATTTACCAACTGCTAATTAGTAATCTAAAAAAGAACGGAAAGTTGAAGTTAGCTGAATCTTTCTCACAGGAGATGAAAGCATCACTTCCTGGTCTGCGTGATCCAAATGATTTTAGAAGGAAAAAGACAGTTTCTGTGAACACTTCAAATTTGGATTCTAATTGGAGTTACACTCCACCTGCAACTTTTGATGCTTCCTCTCCTAGATCCACTTAACCGTGACACTGAAATTAACAAGTTTCCTGTTAATCAACTATTGATTAATTTAGTTTAGTTTAGTTTAGACTCAACTATGTAACTGTTTTGTGTTTCTTTTGGTTGTAAGCAGAAGTACATATGTAACACTTGGTCAAAATTTTAAATATTTTTACTCTTCAATGTGGTTTTGTTTTTGTTTATTAATTGAAGTTTTGCATCAAAGTTCTGCCCTGCAATTAGCTCTTCAATAGTTGGTTTCCCCATTCTTAAGATTTAATCTATAATTCTATATAGACTGATTTGGTTAGGCACTTTAATTGTTCTACATAATAGCAAGACAAATTGACCTTTTCATTTCCCCGCCCATCTTTCTACACTGTGAGATTGCGTCTTTCTTATTAATCAATTCCTCTCCTTCCGCTGATGTAGCTAGAAAAACCGAGCAAGACGAAGTACAAGTGCGGTAAACATCTCCCTTCACCATAATTCCCAAAAGATGTCCACAAATTGACCTATTCTTCAATTCGTCTCTTGCTATGTTAAGGTATGTTTTTACTTTTTACAATTTTTTTACGTTAGTGCTTGATTATTACTTGATTAATACTTTGCTTCACCAATCAATTTATGAATTTCTACTAATTATTATTTTTATATTTACGATTTCAGAATTTAATTTATTAATTTGTTATCAGATGAAATTCTGATAAGGCAAAGCCGCAAAGTTGAGTTACCGTGAGAGCAGCTGCCCTCTTACTGTTCAACGAAATGCCTAAGACATGGTCTCCGTGTCTCACCCATCGCCGCTCTAAATCTTTTTATTCCATCCCCGCAGTTGAATGCTCCATATATCTCCTTACTTGGTTTCATGTGTAGGCCCGTGTTAAATGTCTGCTGTCCTCTAAAATCTATGTAGAAAATGTTACATTATTGTAGAAAATGTTACATGATTTAATTTGGTGTACATACTTAGCCGAATAGATTAGAATAGAAGTTGTTATTAAGAGATAAGCTTGTAGTTATCAAGATCCTATTTTTTAGGATCTACACTAGCTGATTAGTTACTTGTATATCTGTATAAATACTCTGGCCGATTGGCATATTCAATCAATGAAATCAATTCCCAAAACCTACATGGTATCAGAGAAGGCTGTTTAAACACCACAATGGTGGAAACCGAGCACTCTGATTCTTCCCCTCACTCACAAACCCATCATCCTCACTCCCAAATTAGCCAAATGACAAACTACCAGACCTCGGTTAATTCATCTATGCTCATTACTGGACATAGATTGAATGGAACTAATTATCTAGAATGGTCACAGTCTGTCAAACTGGCAATTGATGGAAGGGGAAAACTGGGATACATAACGGGTGAAATAGAGGAGAAGAAAAGTAGAGATGATGGCTACAGTGTCTGGAGGTCAGAAAACTCGTTGGTAACAGCCTGGCTTCTCAGTTCAATGGATGCATCAATCGCCAAACCTCACATGTTCATGAAAACTGCAAAAGAGGTATGGGATTCCATTAAAGAAACTTATTCAGATCTAGAGAACTCTTCTCAGATTTATGAGTTAAAAACAAAGCTGTGGCAGTCCAAACAAGGAAGTAGAGATGTCATCTCATACTATAATGAGATGGTATCCCTATGGCAAGAGTTGGACCAATGCTATGATGCTGAAGAGTGGGAGAGTGCCAAGGATCTGGCAAGACACAAGAAGAGGGAGGAAAATGATAGGGTCTATATGTTCCTAGCAGGAATTAATAGAGACCTGGATGAAGTTAAGGGAAGAATACTTGGAAAAAAACCTCTGCCTTCAATCAGGGAGGTATTTTCTGAGATCAGGATAGAAGATAGTAGGAAGAAAGTCATGTACAATACTCCAGCACAGGCTGATGAACCTGGAGACTCTTCAGCAATGGTGGCCAGAAGTGAAGAAAAGAAAAAACCCTGGTGTGACCACTGCAAGAAACTATGGCACACTAGGGACACTTGCTGGAAATTACATGGGAAGCCACCAGGAGCAGGGAAGAAGAAGTTTGACAAGGCTCTACATACAACTATGGCTGAGACTCAACAAGAACCACAAGTCAACTTCACGCAGCCTTCCTTCACAAAGGAGCAGATAGAGCAACTCCTTAACCTTCTCAATACTCAAAAAAATTCCAAACCAGAATCTTCCTCTTGTTCTTATGCCCAGAATGGTACCACTTCATCATTTTTTTGTTCTGGGAAATCTGAAAGTACCTGGGTCATTGATTCAGGTGCTACTGACCATATGACCTCCATTTCAAACCTTTTCTTTTCATATAAACCCTGTGCAGGGGACAAAAAAGTAAAAGTGGCAGATGGCTCTCTATCAGCCATTGCAGGGATGGGAAATATTAAACTTTCCTCATCTATTAATCTATCCAAAGTCCTACATGTCCCTAATCTGTCTTGCAACCTTGCCTCTGTTAGTCAGTTAACAAAAGACCTACAATGTTGTGTTATTTTTTATCCTTCTCATTGCATTTTTCAGGACCTGGCATCGGGGAAGATGATTGGCAGTGCTAGGGAAGAGGATGGACTCTATATCTTTGATGAAGGAACTCAATCAAATAAAAGAGGTCAAAGAAATGCTTGTCTGCAAACTGTTTCTTTTTCAAATAATAAAGAGTTGTATTTACTTCACTACAGATTAGGACATCCTAGTTTTTATTATTTAAAAAAGGTGTTTCCTCAGTTATTTATTAATAAAGATGTGTCTTTGTTTCATTGTGATATGTGTGCACTTGCAAAACATCATAAAAATTCTTATATTCCCCACAGTTATAAACCTACTAGTCCTTTTACTTTGGTCCATAGTGATATTTGGGGTGCATCTAGAGTACCTACTATAAAAGGAAAGAGATGGTTTGTAACTATCATAGATGATCATACACGGGTCACATGGGTATTTTTGATCAAAGAAAAATCTGAAGTGGAAAAAGTGTTTAGGGATTTTTATGCAATGGTCCAAACTCAATTCAATACCAATATTAAAATGGTAAGAAGTGATAATGGCCGTGAATATTTTTCTCAAACCCTAAACAGTTTTTTTGCTGAAAAAGGAATAATTCATCAAAGCTCCTGTATCAATACACCAGCTCAGAATGGAATTGCAGAAAGAAAAAATAGACATTTACTTGAAGTCACTCGTGCAATCATGTTTTCAACAAAAATACCAAAATATTTGTGGGGAGAGGCTGTGTTACATGCTACCTATTTGATTAATCGAATGCCATCAAAAATTCTGGGATTTAAAAGTCCTATCAACACACTACAAAACTGTTTTCCTACAAACAGATTTATTGGTACTCTTCCCTTGAAAATATTTGGTTGCACAGTGTTTATTAAAAACCCAGATAAATCTGCAAGTAAGTTTGATCCTAGAGGCACAAAATGTGTTTTCCTAGGGATTTCTTCCACTAAAAAAGGGTATAAATGTTTTGATCCTAAAACACAAAAAATGTTTGTTACAATGGACACTTTTTTTGTGGAAGATCAACCTTTCTTTGATAATCATCTTCAGGGGGAGAATTTGAGTAAAGATGATCAAACAGTGCCATATATCCATGAAAACCTTAATTTTCTTGACATTGATCTAGATGTTCATTCCTTTAAAAATATAGGTGCATATGAAAATAGTCAAGAATTAACAAATAATGAAATAAATACAACTGAACCAATTGAAAAAGGAGATCAACAGACAAGTAAATTCTTTGGCAAAGTTTATGAGAGAAGAATTCCAAATCAAAGGATAGAGGAAGTTCCTGAACCTACTTCTGTGCATGATTCTGACTCAATGACAGGGAGTGAAAAAGGTAATACTTCTAGTCATCTTGATCTTCCAATTGCCCTCAGAAAAGAAAGAAGAACATGTGTTAAATACCCTATCTCAAATCATGTTTCTTATTCTAAATTGTCCTCAGTTTTTGCAACATTTACTTCCAGTGTTTCCTCTATCTCTATTCCTTCAACCATACAGGATGCTCTATCTAAACCTGAGTGGAAGAAAGCTGTTTTGGAGGAGATGGAGGCTCTTGAAAAGAATCAGACATGGAAGCTTGTAGAGTTGCCTAAAAACAAACCAACAGTTGGTTGCAGGTGGATTTTTACTCCTAAGTTTAAAGCAGATGGAAGTCTGGAGAGATATAAGGCAAGGTTAGTTGCTAAGGGGTACACACAGACCTATGGCATTGACTACACAGAAACCTTTGCACCAGTTGCAAAGTTGAACACTGTAAGAATTCTATTATCTCTTGCTGCTAATTTAGACTGACCACTGCAACAATTGGATGTAAAGAATGCTTTCTTAAATGGGAAACTTGAAGAAGAAGTGTATATGAAACCTCCTCCTGGATTTGAGAACAAATTTGGTTCAAAGGTATGCAAATTAGAGAAAGCTCTGTATGGGCTTAAACAGTCTCCAAGAGCCTGGTTTGATAGGTTCACAAAATTTATAAAGAAGCAAGGGTTTAATCAGGCTCAAGCTGATCATACATTATTCATGAAGTTTTCAGGCAAGGGGGAGATTGCAATACTAATTGTCTATGTAGATGATATTATCCTCACAGGAAATTATCATACAGAGACTAAGAACTTAAAAGAAAAGCTTGCTCAGGAATTTGAAGTCAAAGACCTAGGAGATTTAAAATACTTTCTGGGAATGGAGATAGCTAGATCAAGAAAGGGTTGTTGTCTCACAAAGAAAATATATCTTAGATCTTCTGCAGGAAACTGGGATGAGTGCATGCAAACCAGCAGACACTCCAATTGATCCAGGTCAGAAGTTGGGAGATATCAAGGAGGGAATTCCAGTTGACATTCACCAATATCAAAGATTGGTGGGAAGATTAATATATCTGGCACATACAAGGCCAGATATTGCATTTGCAGTAAGTATGGTGAGCCAGTTTATGCATAATCCTTTCCAGGAACATCTTGATGCTACTTACAGGATTCTAAGGTACCTGAAGAGCTGCCCAGGGAAAGGATTGTTCTTCAAAAAAGGAAACAGTAGGACAATTGAGGCCTATACTGATGCAGATTATGCTGGCTCAATATCTGATAGGAGGTCTACTTCTGGATATTGTACCTATGTATGGGGCAATTTAGTAACTTGGAGAAGTAAGAAACAAAATGTGGTTGCTAGAAGTAGTGCAAAATCAGAATTCAGATCTATGGCAAATGGAATATGTGAATTGCTCTGGATCAAGAGAGTAATCACAGAACTGAAGATGGAGATGGAACTACCTATGAAGTTGTACTGTGATAATAAAGCAGCTATAAGCATTGCTCATAATCCTGTGCTACATGATCGAACTAAGCACATTGAAGTGGACAGACATTTCATTAAGGAGAAGATAGAAGCTGGAATTGTTTGCACACCATTTGTATCTACTAAAGATCAAACAGCTGATATCTTCACCAAAGGATTATTTAAACCTGTGTTCGAACTGCTTATAAACAAGTTGGGAATGTATGATATATATTCACCAACTTGAGGGGGAGTGTAGAAAATGTTACATTATTGTAGAAAATGTTACATGATTTAATTTGGTGTACATACTTAGCCGAATAGATTAGAATAGAAGTTGTTATTAAGAGATAAGCTTGTAGTTATCAAGATCCTATTTTTTAGGATCTACACTAGCTGATTAGTTACTTGTATATCTGTATAAATACTCTGGCCGATTGGCATATTCAATCAATGAAATCAATTCCCAAAACCTACAATCTAAAATCGCTGTAGTTTTAAAATCACTATATACTCATTGTAGTAGAAATAGGTTTGACAGTTTGGCTTATTTCTCAAGTACATTTTTAATACTTTTACATACATACATTTCATGAAATTAGTCCCTTAAAAATAATAAGCTAAATAGTACGCAGTAGTTCCATAAATAAATTAAGGCTGTCATAATGTTAGTGTTTTGGTGAAAACTGATGCTTTAGCAACAGAACTTGATTTGTGAGGTCATCAAGGTTTTCCCTTGAGCAAAATGACGAATGGAAGGACCACCATTCTGGCCAGCAATTGGCATCTATACATTGCAACACAATCACAAAAATATTTGAAGCTACATCAGAATCCATTTTATAGTGGAAATTATATAAATGAGGATAGTATTACTCCTGTTAGTCTTTGAAACACAATTAACAACAGCAGCAACAGACTAACTTTATCAAACTTGGAGAAATTATGCTACAGTGTAACCATCTTTAAAAGCTATTTTCCATTTTGATAATTAACACACACATGTGTGTCTGTGTGTGTTTTCCCAATTCAGCCCAATAGAACTGTCTTCTAAATTTTCTTGGACAAACATATATAGTTACTATGGTTGATTTCCTTATAGTTGTCTGTACTGTGAAAAGCAACACCATTCTCCCATCTTAATTAATGAATATATACTCTAAATATCACAATGACATTTGCTAATATTAACTTCTATATGGGAACTGTGTTTTGCTGCGCATAAATTGTAAACCTCAGTTCAGTAAAGTATCATGTGTGCCGACCTACTTTTTTCAAGTGTAGACAAGACAATTTATGGTTCTTCAAATCTATAATTCTTTTAGATTTTAACTGACCTACAATGACTTTTCAAGTGTAGTTTCATCAAAGCTATAACCATAAACAATTTTTGGTACTCCGATTGTTTTATGTTGTTAGCTAAACGTGAACAGAAATAACTCCAAACATATCCTTCTTCAATTATAAGTTATGAATATGGAGTGAGACATAATGCAGGTTTCAAGAGCATCTCTGTCACAATTCTCCATAAAATTTTCAGAAATTGATAACTTCTCTATCCCTCGCCATTGTAAAGTTTTTTTTGTATATAGTATTTACCATGTCATGGTGACTTTGGTCATATGTGTTATCCTTTTAATGATTTCTAAAATGTTATTAATGATAATTCCTTTTTTACAGTATTGCACCTTGGTAATTATGTACTTTTAAACCTAATGTTGACATCCAAGTAGAGTAAGAGTTTTGTTGACATCAATCAATCAGTAAGTAAAGATTTCAAGGTGATGGTAATGGTAGTATGAAGGTTGGAACGAATCATATATGAACATGTGAACAAGATTTTAAGACTTCAAGTCTTGAAGAATTTTAAGCCATCTTAAAACTCAAAGTAGCTAAGTTCAGCAGCCATGTGGTTGCTTACACACGTATCATGGCAATTTTGTTATCATATGCTCTTAGCCAACACATGCTATATATTATATCTTGGTTATAACACGAAGAAATCCCCCTCTGAACTCCGAAGAACAAGAGCCAAAGAAGAAGAAAGTTGTTTATTCAATTGAACCAGGCAAGTTTATATGTCTTCCTTTCAACTATTGATTAATTTAACTTATTTCAATAATATTTCATTATAACTTGACATCATCGATCTAGGGTTTTTAATTCCTTACCCGTCCAATGTCATTTTCTTCATTCAAGAACATCAATTGATACGAAAATGCAAGTTTATTCGATGGGACCGGGTAAGTTTTAACTCTTTCAGTGATTCAGCTTCTTATTAATTTGATTCAAATTTCTATAATTCTGTGTATTTGACGTCATTGATACAATTTTTTTTATCTAAGTCGTCCGTATGCATTTCTGAACTCCAATGGAGAACAGAGTACAAACTAGAACTACTACAATAACCTCAAAGAAATCTCAGTCGAAGAACATAAATCGAAAAACAGAAGGGCAGTATATTCGATTGAATAAGGTAATCTTAAAATCAATTGGATTTAAACATTGATATTCCTTTTATCTATGGATTAATTTGAATACATATATGTGTTTAAGATTACACTCAATTTTATCTTAATAAAGATAAGTAGATAACTATAGGGAGATCTAAGTTTAATACTTCCTATGTCCCAAAAGAGGAATCCTATTTCAAGAAAAGAAGCTAAATTTCATTGAATTTAATGTAAATTTTCCAAGATACAAGTATGTCAATTTTAGTTGAAAAAACTAACAAATATAAACATATAAGCTGGTTTGATAATTTATTAGAGTTTTACACTTGTACCAAATCAAAATTTAAAAGCTATACATTTATGAGACAAATTTAACCACATAAACTCATTATTCTACTATACGTGCCGCCTAGTAGAGTAAGTTAATCTCAAAGGCTATCCATGTAATTCTAAAGTCTACTTCTGTTTAACGTAATCTTTAACGTTTTACAATAATACCTCGCATGTGATTTAGTAATTGTATTTTTTTCTCATACCACATGTGTGCAACATATGAGTCCTTCGTCTAGTAAAAATAAATCAACAAAAATACATTGAATACTAAATTGAGTGATGTCAACCTTTTGGCTTAGAAAAACAATTAACAAAGTAGAAGAACCAAAATTGCTGGTAGTGCTGCTTCAAACAACTAAAGCCAAAACTTATTTAAAACATTAGGCCTTCTTCAAAAAGAGGCCTTTTCTTTCTACCAAAAATTCCCCATGCCAAATGCCCAAACAATGAAGTAAAAACTGATGTGCCACAAAAATTCAGAGAAGCCACCATGCCCTAGATATGCATTTCTATACGGTCTCTAAACATACATGCATAGTTTAATATCGGTAGTGAGGAGGCTTGTATGGACCGTCAACGGGAAGGCTAAGGTAGTCAGCCTGCTCTGGGGTAAGCTTAGTGAGCTTGGCACCAAGCTTCCCAAGATGAAGTGCAGCAACCTTCTCATCAAGATGCTTTGGCAAGACGTAAACCTTCTTCTCATACTTTCCCGAGCTTTTCTCCTTCCACAGCTCAAGTTGGGCAATCACTTGGTTAGTGAATGAGCATGACATCACAAAGCTAGGGTGTCCAGTGGCACAACCCAAGTTCATGAGACGACCTTCAGCCAAAACAATGACACCCCTTTTCGTATCGGGGAAGACAAACCTGTCAGTTTGAGGCTTGATAGTGATTCTCTTCACGTCCGGGTATGTCTCAAGCCCGTGCATGTCAATTTCATTGTCAAAATGACCAATGTTGCAAACAATGGCGTTGTTTTTCATCTTCCTCATGTGGTCAACCATGATGATATCTTTGTTACCGGTCGTGGTGACAAAGATATCAGCCTCTGCAACCACGTCTTCGAGTGTGAGAACCTGAAGGCCTTCCATGAGGGCCTGAAGGGCACAGATCGGGTCAATCTCGGTCACAATCACACGGGAGCCTGCTTGCTTCAGTGCAGCAGCGCAGCCCTTTCCAACATCTCCATAACCACATACAACTGCTACCTTCCCAGCAATCATTACATCAGTTGCCCTCATTAAACCATCAGGTAATGAGTGACGGCATCCATACAAGTTATCAAACTGGAAACATAGTATACGAAAATACAGTTAGTACACATGAAACAAATCACAGTATATTAAAACCATTATTGCAACAGAAACACACGCTGCTCATGACATAACTTAGTATGTTCACGGTTCACCATATCATTTAAATTTTATTATTTTACAAATACTTGATCAAAAAACAAGGCACACACAACCATCTACGTGTTGAGGGTGTTATCTTAAGTGCGATAATGTAACAATAAGGGGGAATCACCTTGGAAATAAGTCTTCACCAAGAAACAAATTAGTACATGCAATGATGCAACAATGTAAGTGTTGTAGTACAATCTAAAGTTCTACATTGAAAAAATAAGGGAGAATCACCATGTGCATAAGTGTGCGGGCTTGGTCCGAATTGGACAATATGATATTGTATATAGCAATTTCTTTATAATACATTGTGGAATTTAGGTGACATTATCGGTCTAACACTTGGTAGTTAGTGTATTTGCATTGAAAATAAAACTCCGTCTCTTTAGTTTCCTTCGAGAGTGGGCACTTTTTAATTAAACCAAACGCTCTCTAACAGAACATAGAGTAATTCACCAATTCTAATAATAAAATCACCGCCAGAATCTAAACTCTAACAAATGAGTGTAAATCATATTCGTATTCAGATTCCAAACAAGAAATAGTCTAGTTAAACTTATGATAAAGAGGGAGTGTCAAAATTGATAACAGAAAATATTATTACTATAAGTAAATTTATTATACCTTGCTCTTTGTGACAGAGTCATTGACATTGATAGCAGGGAAAAGAAGTGTTCCATTTGCCTGCATCTGGTAGAGCCTCTTGACACCAGTGGTCGTCTCCTCTGAAACCCCAACAAGCCTTTCCTTCATCTTTGTGTACTTCAGTGGATTAGCCGATAGCCCGTCCCTAATGATGGTCAGCACAATCTGAAACTCAGGATTGTCGGTTGAATTAGGATCTGGAAGGACCCCCTTGCTGGCGTACTCCTCCTCAGCCTTAACCCCCTCGTGGATCAAAAGCGTGGCATCACCGCCATCGTCAACGATGAGATCAGGACCACCATCTGGACCCCAATCGAGCGACCTCTCCGTGCACCACCAGTATTCCTGGAGAGTCTCGCCCTTCCAGGCGAACACAGACGCGCTGTCACGGGCAATCGCCGCTGCAGCGTGGTCCTGGGTGGAGAAGATGTTGCAGGAGCACCATCTCACCTCCGCGCCCAAGGCTGTGAGGGTCTCAATCAGAACAGCGGTTTGAATTGTCATATGCAAGCTGCCGGTGATCTTGGCGCCCTTGAATGGCAGGGAGGGTCCGAACTCGGCGCGGCAAGCCATGAGCCCAGGCATTTCCACCTCAGCGAGGTCAATTTCTAGGCGGCCAAAATCCGCCTGAGACATGTCCTTGACCTTATATTCCCGGCCAGAGGTCGTTTTCTCGACGATCAAAGCCATGAGCGTGTGTTTTCGCAGCTTCTATGTGATGATGATGATATTGGAAGAAGAATGGAGGGGAGTGATATGAGTGGGAAATGCTAAGATGCGTTTATAATGAACATAAATATAGGTTTCCAAGGACAAATGAACGGCTAAGCTTTGGTCTTCAATGTGTAGTGGAAATTTTCTCTTGTAAACCAACGATCTTTTGGATTAATTTCTGTCGCGGGATTCTTTGGTCATTCTCAGTTTTGGCCGTTATAACCACCTTTCAACCCAACAACCCATGTAAGTTAACATTCATATATTTACAGTTTATAATCTATTCATTCACCGGTTTTTTATAATATTGAAAATAATAAAAATGAATATCTTGAGATATGAAAACCAATACTTATCTATTTTGAGCTAAACATTATGGAAATTTATTAAAAACGAAACGTAGACGGAATAGTTTCATTGTGAACAACCATTACTTTTCGTCCCAAAATGGTTTAAAATATTCCCTTCTTGATCAGAATATTATATTATGCCATTTTCATACTAAAACAATAATGCTTCCATTATATTACTACGCATGAGATTTTAAATACTATTCCCTCTTTGTCGTTAAAATACACTCATTTTTTCTTTTTCGGTCCGTCTCAAAGATTGTTTCATACCAGATTTAGTGCGATTATTGATAGAAATGAGTTTATGACTTTATGGCGATATACCTTTGTTGGAGCCAAATTTAAAAAGATCAATGTCATAATATATAGTATAGTGCAAGCAAAGAATCAAATGAATAATTCTATTATGAAGGTTTTTGGTAAACGGAATACTAGTTTTTTTGAATTGACTTTGAATGTTGGCTGTGTCAAATCGTTATTTTTAGTGTTTGCTAAATAGTTTTTTGATCCGACTACTCCGTATTTGATTTGAAAAATTAAAAACAAAAAAAACATTTCAAGTAGTCTTTTTTTCACCATGACTTTGATTTTATATCTTAGAAACCAAATTTATTATCCAATTTTACTTAATTCATTAATAACCACACATTTATACAAAATAAATACGTAGTATATTACTCTATAATTGATATAAGGGAAAAGGGGCAAATAAGCCCACGCACTAACAAAAAAAAAAGGTCAAATAAGCCCTTATATAGGAGGTTCTGTACGGCCGTCGCCATTTGGAAAAGTTCCCAGGAGATTTTTTTTAGCATCTTATTCATTAAGTCTAGTTTACTCATACCAAATTTCAGCTAACAATTCAACCGGGAAGACATTCAAATGAATTCTTGAAGATAATTGCATTTTTAACTGTGCAGTTATCTTCAAGAATTCATTTGAATGCCTTCTCAATTGAAGTTTTAGCTTAAATTTGGTATGAGTAAACTAGACTTAATGAATAAGAGGCTCAAAAAATTTTCCCAAATGACGACGGCCGAAGAGACCCTCCTATATAAGGGTTTATTTGACCTTTTTTGGTTAGTATGTGGGCTTATTTGTCTCTTTTCTTTTGATATAAACAACAAACAAAAAAAGAGTGTGTAAAAACAATGATTCATAAATATGATTATATATATTGTTACTATTTTATACTGGCCTATATTATTAGACCAATTATAGGCTCATTACTATTAAAAATGAAAATGTGAGTAGTTACTTGTAAAAAATAGCCTATAAAAAGTTCGCATTTAAAGTATTTACCTGTATAGCGGTAGTTCCAAAAAATGAAAGCATTCCTTACATTCCCCTAAAATTTTCTCATCTTTCTTTTTTTATCCGTTCCACTACAACTTTGTTTCATATATATCAAACTTGGTAACATTGGTGTGGTTTATTAGAAACCACATAAACCGTAAAATGTCCAAATTATCCTCACATTTCCTTCAATAAATTTTTTTGATCATTTCTTTCCCACTAAAAAATGACACATTTTTTCTTCATATTCCTTTTGAGGAAATATTTTATGTGATTGATTCATATCTCTCTTTTTAGATAAATGCAATCACACAAAAACTAATTATATAAACTGAAAATAGTTACATATTTATGACTAAAATAAAGATTGATATCATAGTACTTATGTTCAATTTTCAAACTTAAGTTACCATGACACTACACGTAGTAACAATTAGTCATGTTTGTGTAAATAAATTTTATTTTAGTAATATTTTTTTTAAGAACTCCTATAAACGGAAGCACCCTTACATAAATAAATCCAAAACACCCCAACTTACAAACCCCCATCATCCTTTCACGCTCCCATTCTTCTTCCCTTTAACATTGTCCACCACACCATCGGCACCTTTGCCACCGCGCTACCCGTGTCATTTCGGCCATTCGAACCTCCGTGCCCCCCCCCCCCCACATCTGCGTCACCCACACCTCTACGACCCACAACTTCTTTGATCTTATTTTTCTGTTTCTTCATCACTTGCCGCCGCTACCATCCCCTCCAATGACTACGATACTAATCCATGATGTAGGATGGGGGCAGTGATGGGGACTCATGACCTCATGGGGTATGGGGTAGTGCCAATTGCTGTGAGGCTAAGGTTTTGGAATTGGATGTTATCTACAACGGGAGGGGCTGAGACAATCATAGGGGAGGGTGCAGGGATGGGCTGAGCCGCTGAGGTGCATCTATGGGAGGGGCATTGATGGGTGGAGGGGCTAGGGTGAGTGATATGTGGCTGAGGAGGCTGGAGCAGCCGGCAGAGGTCACTGCCGAATTCCGATGGTCCATCCAATGGTGATCACTGACTTATGATCCGTCCGATAGTGATCACTGTCCGATTATTTGATGGTGAACACTGTTCAGTAGCAGTCACTGTCTAACGGTGGCCGGTGGGTGATGTCACGGACTTATTGTCCCTAGTCACGACTATGCCGCGGCGTATTAGCCTGCCATGCCGCGGCTTACTTGCCTGCGATGCCACGACATTCTGCTGAACTCAGGGAGATTCGTGACAGTGATCATTGAGACCAACAGTGATCACAAGCAATTGGTCACTAAAGCGTCGGGGGATGGTAAGATCACTGATATATGTCACTACATATTGAGAGTAATTTAGTAAAACACATTTAGATTTTCTCCGGATTGAGGACAAATATAGTTCCATTTTTAGAAACTAAAAAAGATTACTTTTTGTCCACGAGTTACTTTTTAGTAATAATGTAATATACTCGTGCCCTAATCTCATCATACAATCTCACTTTGTCCATGAGTTACTTTTTAGTAATACTCGTGTCCTAATTTCATCATACAATCTCACTGTGTCCATGTCAAAGTAGGATAAAAAAATTGGTGAGAGTAAATATTAATAAATCTAAACATCTGTTAAAAAGGTAAAATTATAAATTTGTATTTCAATTTCGTTTGCATTTTCCTATGTAAAACTGAGCATAGGAAAATAACTCTCCTCATGGTGTTCTTTCCTCTCCTATGATGAATACTGTCTTTTAATAGAAAACCCATATAACTTGTGAGGTTGGATCCAAACTTCTCTGGAGTTACTCCATCAATTGTCCAGATTTCATATAGATACTGTACTTAATAAATCCGCAACAAAGATCCAATATGTAGGTTGCTTTGTTTATCCAGTCAAGAAGAAGGTGTCCCTCAATCTTATGTATTTGTGTTTTCAAGTGTTTCTTTGGTCAATATTTTCTCATCGTTCCTCCTGTTTCGGTGAAGCACACACTCTATGAATAACCTAAATGACAGTATCGTGAGGATGGTGATTATTGAAGCAGAGAACCTTTTGGCAAAACCAAGCCTTGTTGTAATTGTTAGGCTGATCCAGAAGCTTTCCCTGAAGCGGCAGCTTCACGTTGCTTGAGTCGATATTCTCTCTGAGGTCAAAAGAGAGATTATTAGCAAAGTGCACAATTTGTGTTTATTATTCCACGTTTTGTATCCAGTATTGTTTTTTATAAACAATAAGATGTACTCCTAGTAGGAAACATAAAAACAAATTTGGATTTTGAATAGTATCATAGTAGTATGCATGTTAATTGATGTTAACAGACGGATACATTGGCACTTCGTTTAGTAGAATTCCATTTGAAATTATTCATATTGTGAGAACAGATTATGGCTGAGGATGAAATAAGAACTGTAAAAGCGATCTGCCTTATTGCCTTAAGAACTGCTTATTGTAAAAGAGAGGATGAAATAGAATTATAGAGAGGATGAAATAGAACCATACTCTTCGTTCCCAGTATGGGAGGAAGCATACAAAATCATACACAGGCTCTATCGTAGTGACCAAAGCAGCATTTAGTCCAACGAATAGGAGAAGCCCCGTCATAGGCCTAGCTCTGTGAGGCATCCTGATCCAGCTGTTATGACTTTGAAATAAGGACAAGCTAAACCTGGGAATGATAATTGCGTGTCAAGATACGAGTTCAAATGTTCCGGAAATGGTGGGATACACCACAAAGGTGCCGACTTTTTTGGGCATTGGATGTACGGGGTTGGTCCCGAGAAAATGGAGACGCTGTGTAACATAAAAAAACTGGGTCTCCCTTTCAAGAACAAGTTAAAAAAAGCATAAATAAAGATGATGATAATAGCAATAAATTCTTGATAATTTATGTTAAAATGCAAGTTACTAATGATTAATGAACATAATAGTAAAAAAAAAGTATTCATTAATAGAATACATTTCATTTAAAAAGAGACATTATTTGAGCAAATATAGATGCAAAGTATCCAAACTTTCAATATCTAGATTTTTTTTCTTTTTAAGTTTCTCATATCGTGTTTACAAATTTTAAATTAAAAGTTACTTCAAATTTTGAATTAATGACTAAATTATAATCCCAAAAAATAATTATAAACTAATAATGTATTATAGTGCAAACGAACCTAATAACATACTTATACCAATTTGTTAAATATAACTAGTTTAATTACTTAGTTAAACAAATAACATCCTAATTTGTTAAATTCGATAATAAATTGCTGATGCTTGATAAATAACTAAAATAAGCAATTCAATCACATAATAATCAAGAAGAGTAACAACGCATAAGAAATTAATAGAAAAGTCAGAATACCCTAAGGATTAAGATTTAATACAACGTAATTGATAATTTAAAAGAAAAGTCAGAAAACCATACCACTTCAGAAAGCGTTGCGATGAGTGCGAGAGCCGAGCGATTCAGCGGAGTGGGCGGACTGGAGGAGTGGCGGCGCGCAGGCTAGGCGCGGTGGCGGGATGGTGGCGGGATGGCGGCGTCCGTTATCCCTTTGTGGCTTTGTCGATTGCAGAGGCAGAGGCAGAGCCAGAGGCGAGTCTTCTTTCTTGCATATGCGCTATTGGGTTGCCTAATACTTTGTAGTAGGCTAATACTGCTATGGGCCTACTGCTATTACTTCTTCGGCCCTTTAATATTAGGGGTCCTATCCCATTGGGCTGGGTGCACCTGAATCCTGATGTGGGCTGGACCTAAAACATAAAAAACCATATTTTTATTCATTACTTCTATTTTAAAAATATAGATAGTATATTTTTCATTATTTTTTTAACCTAGTTCTTTTTTTTTGTTCATAAGTTCTCTAGTATCTCTAGCTTCGTCTAGGTTTTGCAGGGTGTTTCCGAGTGTGGTGGTTTACGCACAATGTAGGTTTGACGTAGCAGCCTGAGGGTTTTTCTACGAAGGCCCTCTTGTTTGGCAAGCTCGGCATGAAGCAACGTGACACGAGAGAAGCTGCAAGTGGTCATGCGATGGCGAAGGCATGGTAGAGATATTAGAGAATGTTTTTTTGGAAGAAAGGCTTATATGAATATATGATATCTAATTCGTATCTATAGGTGGTGTCGTTGGTATTGCTGGTAGACAGGCTAATATGATCACCTCAACCCATCCCTGCAGAGAATCCAGCCTCGTTGGTGTCGGTGCTTGCGCTCCCCTAATCCTGGAGTCTATTGATTATCCTCCAAAGCCTGTAGATAGGTAAATCCGGATCTGACCACAGTCAGCCTCGTTAGTACTGGTAGTACATGACGAATCCAACATGATTTTAATTTTACTACTAGCTAGAGATATTAGAGAATGTTTTTTAGGAAGAAAAGCTTATATGAATATATGATATTGATATCTCACGCCTGATTTGGTCAACAATCTAATGATTAGACATATAATTACTTCTCATAACTCATAATCACTAAAATGAATTATAAAACAAGAAGAGTTATCTATCTCTGAGAAAAATAGTCACCCGATGCTAGTAAACAATCAAAACAAAATATCCCATAGAATCATAATTAAATTGACCAAAAATAAAGTAAAAACCGAATACCGACATAGTCTGTGAGTGAAAATCAAAATGAAGAAAATAAGGGCCCGTTTGGTATGGTGTAAAGTAAACACTTTGCGTGTAAAGTGTGGAGATGTAAACATTTTACACCGTTTGTTTTAACTATTTAATGTAAACTGTATGACACTTTTTAAACTCATTTTACACCGTACCATGTTAAGTATTTTACGTTGAGGAAGGGTTGTAAACTACTTTACATCCGTTTATCCGAGCGATAATATATATACGAAACACTAGTTTGCAATTGAGACCTAGACGACGGCTACACTTTGGAGATTCCACTGTTGCGGCAAAGCAAAAGATAGGATTGACGGCGAAGAGGCTCATGTTTATTAGTTACTTTGCACATACATATTTATACATATGTTAGAACATTGGATCTTTAGCTTTAAATTACATTTTGAGATTTGATGTGCATTTGGAATTAAAAGCTTAACTATAGCCACTATTATACTTCGTATTTAGTTTTGAGATCAAATATATACGCACTACTCGTATAGTTGTCTTCTAGGTAGTTGTTTTTTAGTGATTTATATTTTTCTGGAAGATTTCAAAAAAAAATCTGGAAGCTTCAAATAAAGTTAGAAGCTGGCCAACTGTCAATTAGAAGCTCTATAGCACTTTCAATGAGTATTTTACATGTAAAGTGTAAACTCGTTTGAGAAAGTTTATGTACTACGTATAATTTAAAAACAAATTACCGACCAAACGGTGTGTTTCTATTTTACATGCAAACTATTTTACGGTCCTAAACTTTACATGCAATTACTTTACATGTAAAATTTTAATGTGTAAACTACCAAACGGACCCTAAAAGTATCGGAAAAAGCTATAAGTCTGCTTCTTTCCTGGAGTGCCTTTCATTCAAAGCTCGCCCCAACCCCAACATTCCCACTATTATTTTCCAGATCCATCCTCGTGAGACCCTCCTTTTTTGACACCCCATCTACTCTTCGACGCTTTTGTTCCACCACATGTACTCCTTCTTTTGATTGTCCAATGTCACTAAACTCACTAACATGAGCCCTAAATTGAACTTCCACCGTTTATTTACCAATGAGTTCTCTTCCAACTCAACCATTATAATTAACCCTTGCTTATTTTCTTTCCTCAAAACTAGCCATTTGTTGTCCTTCCTTCATTACTTCGGCCACTCTTTTCTCTCACCCACGACACGAACTCCTTGGCTTGTCCAGTATTCGGTTGTCCCAGTACCAAAGGAAGAACCTATTTGCATGGCCAATAATACCATACGCAAAACAAAAATTGAGTTGTTTTTCATTCCTGGAATCTAGCTAAAAACAATTCTCGTTTGCTTTTTACATTTTCAAATTCTTCAACATAGGTTTCCCTATATCTAGACAAACCAGAATTCGTAAATAGGCCCTCCAGCGCCTCTTAAATTGATTCTAATCAAGCATGACAAACTTGCATATAAAATTACTAATAGTTTGTGCCACCTTCAAAATAAGATACCCTATTGGCAAATTATGCACTTGAATCCAATGTTCCGTAAAATGTTAAGGAACTTTCTAAGGCAGATCATAAGGCTTCAACTTATGCAAAACAACCAGATTCCGATCATACAACCACGAACCGTATTCAAAAACAAATCTTATGTCAGTTTATGAAGGAAAAAAAGAATAAACACCTCATGTCGCCTATTTCATTGATCAAAACTCCCATACGAGGTCTCCATATTGAGCCTAAAACATCCCTTAACATCTTGAATTTCACCGCTTTTTCAACCGTGCCAAACAAAGGACCATGCAGTTAAGCCTCTGCCTTGTTCGTAACTGGCCTCCTCCTCCAGCATGACCAAACTGATCTCCTCTGCACTGATGGCCAGTGGGACCCGTGGATCCCCAAAACAATACCTATATATATTTATATATTTGTAATATAAAATAAACTAATTATTGTATATATACAAAAAAAACACTAATTACATCCAAACGTTGAAGTAGTGGACCGGGAGCAAGTATGCACTAGATGCGTTACCTCCTGTGGGAGGTGTAGGAATCGATTCCTCTAATCACCTGATTTTTGCAACAAGAGATTTTACACCCTTTTCTTATCATGCACTGTAGCCCCAAATTTAAGCTTTTACTCCGTATTAAATACACAAACCTAACATATCTTTTATCTTAAACTAAGATTGAATTATTTTTCTACTGAATAAATTTATAGAAAAAGGCTGAAAAATATTTGGTGCGGCCAATAAAATGTAAGTGTAAAACACCCAGATATTAAATCTAAATAAACATTTAACCTTTATTCAAGAAAAATAAAGTTTATATTACATTTGTAAAAATAAGATAGGATTAAATTGTCTTGAACTTTTAAAAGAATAATTTTCAAAAATCCAGATATACAATATCGGTGTCACATGAAAGATCAAACAAATTATTTACTTTGATATTTTTTCTTACAAAACAGAGCACACATAAAAAGGTGTAATATTTTTAATAAAAAAACCAGTTAGCCACATGTAATATCTTTCATTATGTACTTCAAAAATGTACATTAATCATGGAACATTGTGCTACTTTAATATTTCACTTCTTTTTTTATTAATTTTTTTATTGATTAGAGTTACATTGGAGTAGGGACCCCGTAGCTCTGATTTTCTGGGTCCGCCACTGCTGATGGCCAACCGTTCATATTTTTGTTCGAGAAATCCTGCTGGATTCGTCCTGTACTATCAGTACCAACGAGGCTGACTGTGATTAAATCTGAATTTACCTGTCTACAGGCTTTGGAGGATAGTCAATAAACATGAGGACTACTGGAACGCAAGCACCAAGACCTGGATTAAAAAAAACTTAAAGGGATAAGGGTCAGTTTGGTACTCGAAGTTGCAAAAAAGGGGTCAAATAAGTACTTATATAGAAAATTCCGTCTGGACGTGCCATTTGAGCTGGCTCCCGGTGGAATTTTTTGATAAAATTTTTTGAGCATCTTATCCATTAAGTCTAGTTTACTCATACCAAATTTTAGCTAAAAATTCAATCGGGAAGATATTCAAATGAATTCTTGAAGATAACTGCGCTTTTAACGGCACAGTTATCTTCAAGAATTCGTTTGAATGTCTTCCCGGTTGAATTTTTATCTGAAATTTGGTATGAGTAAATTAGACTTAATGAATAATATGCTCAAAAATTTTCATCAAAAAATTCCACCGGGAGCCACCTCAAATGGCACGTCCGGACAGAATTTTCTATATAAGTACTTATTTGACCCCCTTTTTGCAACTTCGAGTACCAAACTGAATCTTTCCTCAAAACTTAAATGTACGTGGTAACGTGGTTGTGTCATTTTCTACATGGTACAAAGTAAATAGTATAACCAAATTAATTGATGAATGAATGCGGGCCCACCAGCGACAATCACCTACTCCTGCCTTCCAGCGGTTACATTGTCCGTTTTGCACTGTCACGTCTCCCATAATATGTTCGCGCTCTATCCCCACTCCCTTTGAACCGCTCAAATACCCATTTCCATCTCCGATCCAAAATCCTGACACAATCCGTCAATCATCATGAGGGAGATCTTGCACATTCAGGGAGGTCAGTGCGGCAATCAAATCGGCTCCAAGTTCTGGGAAGTCATCTGCGACGAACACGGCGTTGATCCTACCGGCCGTTTCAAGGGCGGAGAAGCCAGCGACGGTGCCGCTGATCTCCAACTCGAACGCATTAATGTCTACTTCAACGAGGCTTCCGGTGGTCGCTATGTTCCCCGCGCTGTCCTCATGGATCTCGAGCCTGGTACAATGGACAGTATCAGATCAGGTCCTTACGGCCAGATCTTCAGGCCGGATAACTTCGTCTTTGGACAGTCTGGCGCCGGAAACAATTGGGCCAAAGGCCATTACACCGAAGGCGCTGAGTTGATCGACTCTGTTCTAGATGTTGTTCGAAAGGAGGCCGAGAACTGTGATTGCTTGCAAGGTTATTTCCTACTCCTTCCTCAGTGATTTTTTAATTTCATTCGTAATAACGATCATATCTGATTCACGCATTCCTGCTTTGAATAAACTCGTCAATCTTTACACAGTTATGAATCTTATGATTGATTTATACGGAGTATTAACGATAAACCAGAGTACGTGTTCGGTTTAGCACTTGCTATAGTTTACTAACATTAAATAGAAATGGCTTCATGGCTTTGTTAGAAACATAGCTTGATGAGCTTTACGATTTTAAAATTAGCTTAAATAGGACAGATCTCAGCAGCTGATTATTCTTAAGTATTTCTCCTGTTGATCTGTAGTTTTTTGGACAATCCTTCACTATTATTCGATTATTATGCATATATGTATACGTTAACTACACTTTTGTTATGCTACTATTCCAGTTCTGATACTTTGATTTCTTTTCTTCTGGTGTTAACAAAGTAAGAAAACCACCCTGCTTCTAAGCATACGTCTGAAATAAACAGTGCTTATCTATACCAATGTTTTATATTTTGTGATGATATAATTTTGGATTTTTGACCACTTAAGTATTTGATTATTATTTGTTGTCTGGGCAGGGTTTCAGGTTTGTCACTCACTTGGAGGAGGTACTGGATCTGGAATGGGTACTCTTTTGATCTCAAAGATAAGGGAGGAGTATCCAGACAGAATGATGCTCACCTTCTCTGTTTTCCCCTCACCAAAGGTCTCTGACACAGTTGTGGAACCATACAATGCTACACTCTCAGTTCATCAGCTCGTGGAAAATGCTGATGAATGCATGGTTCTTGACAATGAAGCACTCTATGATATTTGTTTCAGGACTCTGAAGCTTAGCACCCCAAGCTGTGAGTATACTTCAGTAAATAGCTGATGATCGTTTTTCTCCCTTAGCTATTTACTACTCTCTGCATCACAGATTCCCAGTGTCTTTATCAATCACAGACTCACAGTACACGACTAAACTCAGCTCAAAATTAAATTAAATTGAAGAGTTGAACCTTTTGTAAAGGAATAATGAAGAATGTAGTAATAACCGGTTTAATGACTTAATCCATTGACAATACATCATTACTCAATTGGTTTCTCTATTTTCTTTTGAACTCGATTTGGTTATTGACAAGTGACAACTGGACTTAATCTACTGTTCAACATTTTGCATACTCGGTTCTAATCGGAAAGGCTATTTTCATTAATAGAGGCTATATTGGTTGAAATATCATAAACTATTTTAATTTAAAGTAAAATATCATAAACTTAGTTAACAAACAAAAAATAAAGAGAAGAAGAAAAAAGTGATGTTTTTTTTTTCTTTCTAGTTGGTGACCTCAATCATCTGATATCTGCAACCATGAGTGGAGTCACCTGCTGCTTGAGATTCCCCGGGCAGCTGAACTCGGACCTCCGGAAACTGGCTGTGAACCTGATCCCCTTCCCACGCCTCCACTTCTTCATGGTGGGCTTCGCGCCACTGACATCACGTGGCTCACAGCAATACATATCCCTCACAGTCCCGGAGCTGACACAGCAGATGTGGGATTCGAAGAACATGATGTGCGCCGCAGATCCACGACACGGCCGCTACCTGACGGCCTCTGCCATGTTCAGGGGCAAGATGAGCACAAAGGAGGTGGACGAGCAGATGATAAACGTGCAGAACAAGAACTCATCATACTTCGTGGAGTGGATTCCGAACAATGTGAAGTCAAGCGTGTGTGACATAGCGCCAACGGGGCTGAGGATGGCGTCTACGTTCGTGGGGAACTCGACGTCAATCCAGGAGATGTTCAGGAGGGTGAGCGAGCAGTTCACAGCGATGTTTAGACGGAAGGCGTTCTTGCATTGGTACACCGGGGAAGGGATGGATGAGATGGAGTTCACGGAGGCGGAGAGCAATATGAATGATTTGGTGGCGGAGTATCAGCAGTACCAAGATGCCACAGCGGATGATGAAGAGGATATTGAGCATGAAGGAGAGGTTTATGAAGAAGACGAATGATCCACTCTCCTCTCTTCTTTTCCCTTTGTATTGCAAAGTCATGAATGTTTAATTTCTTTCTTTCTTTCTTTGAATTCATCCATTTCCATAATCCTCAAGTCTGTCTATGTTTGTATTGTTAAATACTTCGTACTCTATACTTCTTACTTATTAAAGCTTTGATAAAGAATATATGGAGTATATGAATGATTTTGCAACAACGGCTACAAATCTATTTTGACAATTTCAACTCAAGAGTTGTCTAACCCATTAAAAGAATGTACTACGTAGGAAAATATATTCTGATCATTTCAGCATTTGCTTTAAGAGAGTGGTAAATTGGTGCATAGCTAAGAGAGTGGTAAAGTGGTGCATACTGCATAGCTAAAGTATTATGGGTGGGTTTAATGAACCAAACCTCCATGTGATATTGAAATTCGGAGCATTAGCCCCAAGTGATTTAAAAAATCGTCAAACCCCCTAGTGTTTTAATTAATTATGCGCAAAATTCCTTCTATGAACAAATTCAATTGTCAAATAAAAGAAAAATGATTAACATTTTTGTATGATTTAAAGATTTTGACATATTTACTTGCATATTCAATCAGAATATTACGAAAAGTGATTTTCAAATCGTTAAATTTATTCATAAAAGGGATTCTGTGCATGATTAATTAAAACATAAGGGGGTTTGACGCATTTTTCAAATCACAAGGGGCTATTGTGCTGAATTTCTATATCACGAGGGGGTTTGACGCATTAAACCCAAAGTATTTGATACCCTTTTACCAAAAAAAGTATTTGATACCCCTCAATTCATCCGGCTGTTGGAAGAAGGAAACCCGTCTTTTCTTTAAGCTTTTTCTTTTCTTTAAAGTTTTGTATTTGTACTATAATCTTATAAAAATACTTCGCGCCACATAATAAAATTTATAACTTTTTATGATCTTATACAACAATATTGCATATACGCAATATAAATTTAGAAAATACTAGTATGAAATTTCTCAATGATTAGATGTTTTAGATCTAAATTTTTTCTCACACTACAAAAAATTTCAGCTGTAGTCATAGGTATTCGCAAAAAAATAGCAAAAAATTTGTGTACATAATAATAATAAAAGTAAGAATTTAATTTAAAAACTTGTGTTAGATGTATATATGGATCGTGCTGTATTGCATGTAATACTGAATTGAACCAGTTAATACACAAATTTTGTATAAATACACTAGTATTGATGTTTATTTCTCCAATTCCAAAGACCTAACACTTTTCCTTTGGGTTTCGATGGATATTTTAGTGGGTTATGTGAGTGTAAAGGCACAAGTATTTTAGCATGAAGAGAGAGACAATAAGTGGGCCGAGTTCTTATTAGCAATAAAAAACAATCATAGCACACCGTACTGAGGCCGAGGTCGAGCGTCTTGTATAAGCTGTGAGCACAGAAGATTAGATGCCAAAATTAGTGAGTAGAGTTGCTAACCCCTAATAATGAACTAAATAATGCTACTATCATGGGTGGGTGGTAGTGATGATGTGGAAGATTATCAATGGTTAATCTCTCAAACACCAAATCTTGTGTATCTAGTGCATTAAATGCGTTCCCGCCTAAATCCTTCTTTCCCGCCAACCATCCTATGTGCTCGGTGCTCCGGTTGAGGCCCCCATGAACTTTAACGAACATAAGACAAGTGAGAGATAGAGAGAGGTCGTGCAGAGCATGCTGCTCGGGCTGGGCCTAGCGGGGCGCAGACCTTGGCGGTTCCTTGCATCATTCCTTAACACGGTATTTGGGCTGATCCGTTAGTGGGCCAATTACCTCAACACTAACATACAAATTTTGCATAAATTGCAAAGTGCTTACAAATTTTACATACGAATAAAATTTTTCTTAAAAAAAACTACTACCTCTGTCCCATTATGTTTGAGACAAAGGGGTGTGACACAATTTTTAAGAAAAAATTGAATTGTGTGGTTGATATTGAATTGATAAAGTGTAAATAAAGTAAGAATGAATTGTAACCACCCAAATATTTCCAAATATGGTATGAGACAAACTTAATGGAACAGACGAAAAAGGTAAAACGGGACAAAGTTAGGGGGACGGAGGAGTAACTTGCATACCCCGTATATAAAAAGTGTAAAACTGTATATGAAAGTGTACAAATATACTTTTGCAAATTTAATAATGAACGTTCAATTAATCCTAATTTTCAAATCTGTCATTACTCCCTGTAACGGAAGGCGGTGACATTGTGATCATCAGCATCATCATTTTCACTTTATGAAAAAACAATGGGCAGCACTATGAAGGGAGCGAAAAAGCCGATCAATGCCGCGAAGGCGTGGCTGAAGGCGCAACCGCCCAAGATGAAGGCTTTTCTGGTTTTTACAGCTGCCTTCTCCGCCATTGTTTTCCTCCGCCTCGTCGTCGAAGACCACGACAACCTCTTCATCGCCGCCGAGGCTGTCCACGCCATCGGCATTTCCCTCCTCATTTATAAACTCACCAAGGGCAAAACTTGTGCCGGTACGTTTTGCATTACTTTTCGCCGTTCTTATCATTATTTCCACAATTGTAGTGATCGATTTGGCTATTCCTGACCTGATTGATGATGTCTTTTTCTGAAAATGTGACATATTGTGTTGAATTTTCTCCAGTTATCGTTGTTTTTTTTTATGATATATGACATCGAGTACTTTTCTATGAGAAGAAATCAGGAATGGGCAAATTTTACCATTTAACCAAGTAACCAACCATTGGAGCATAGGGATCTTCCGACGTATTTGTATACATATTTCTCATTTCTTTTTGGTAAATTTGTCCTGGAGTGTAAATGGCTTAGAATAAAAGGGGCTTATACATATTTTATGATATTAACTCAATCTTTATTTGGATAGTAATTTATCACACTTTCCTAAATGATTTCTTGGAGTACCTCCAATAAGCATGTCAGTATCAACCAGAGCAAAACTCAACTCATTTATTCTATGAACAAGCCCACTTTACCTGCTTGCTTTTTACTACAATGTCTATTAAGAGTATCATTAATTTGTCAAGGACGCAGTCATGTGATCTGGCCCATGTGGGGGTAAGTACCTTGAAACAGATCCCCTTTCCTATCCATCTCGGACTCTTGTCAATGAATTACAGTAAAGGATCAAAATGTTTTACATGTGTCGATCTCAAATTGTATAACACAAAGGTGAAAAGTAAATGATACTCAGAAAATCGCAACAATTTTTCCTTTTGCATTACTCAAATAGTCTACTCATTTAAAATATTTTAAAATTTATCTCATTGTTAATTTTCAATTTTTCAATTTATTTATAGAAAATTAGTATTCCTGATCAATGTCATGTTCACGTGAAAGTAAAAAAGTTGCAACTAAATAGATTGGAGAAAGGATGTAATGCTTTAACACAATTCTTTGGCTTCTAAGATTTGACCACATCACTTTAGTACTGATATTGAATAATGTCAACAATCCTGGTTGACACCTTTGTCTACCCAAGCCTTCTAAGTATTTACTATTGATATATACGCTTAATGAATTGTTGGCATAGTTGAATAAACTATAAAGTATACTAATCGTATAATTTGTATCAGTATAACATTGTTGTGGTATTCTCTTAAAGAGACATACACCTTGTTTGACTTGGATCTTCACACTATAAAATGCATAATCCAGAACCTCTTTCACTAAAGCTTCTCGTTTTGATCCCCTCTTTATTTGGAACTTCAAAATATATTTATGATAGTTCACTAAATTTAGGAATACCTTTTTGTATTCTGTCCCTACAGTGATCATATGGAAAAACATTAAGGTAAAATAGACTTTACGCATAGAATTCCGACCGCCACTTGTGCTTTTTTGGCAGGAAATTTGAATAAAATATCGAATTAAAACATTTATGTATGGTTAAGGTACTATTTTGATTTATTTAAGAGTTAAAGTACCAAAATGAAACATTACCAATAGTTAAGGTACCCTTTATGCATTTCACCCCACACTCGTAATAGGGAAGTTATAACTTATACTCCCTCCGTCCCACTATGATTGTCCCATTTTACCTTTTCGGGAAGTCCCACTAAGATTGTCCCATACCATATTTGGTAAATATTGTGTGGCTCTAAATCATTCTAACTTTATTCTTACTTTATCAATTTAATATCAACCACACAAACCTACTTTTCTTAATAAGCGTGCCACCTTCTCTCGTCCCAATCTTAGTGGGACGGAGGTAGTAGCATTCAAAACAAGTAATTTATCGAACGGCTTTAACTATTTATAATTTGATTATTTGTTGAAAATTACATGAAGTATTCTTCTCAATAGTGCTTAAACATATCCTTGAAGGTTGTGGGTGTCATTTGCCTTTTTTTATAATGCAAAACACTGAGCCTCTGATAAGCTACTTTCTACGGCAATGTTTATCATTTAGTGAGCCTTATGCGGTTATGCCCTTTTTAGTGGGTTTATGTTTTATTTTTCCACATGAAACACATAATGTAGATATAATAAGAGATTTAAAGATGATGCATTTATCTTGCACCGTGGTCAATGCTTGTTTATAATTATGATTAATATATCTAACCTCGAGACTTTGCTTAGTGTCCAAATCACAAGGCTCTTCCCAAAAAGTCAAAACCTCACCAAGTGTTAAATTTGATCATTAATTTGATATATAATGTGTATTTACTTGTCATCTAAATTTATTCAGGATACAATGAATTTTCATTCAGGTGAATACGTAGCTTGAACGGCAGGTTTTTTAAATGTGCAACTAAATGTACTGTTTTGAAAATGTTCAGGACTTTCACTGAAATCACAAGATCTCACGGCTATGTTTTTAGCTGTAAGACTTTACTGCAGTGTTGTCATGGAGTATGACATACATACTCTGCTTGACTTGGCTACGTTGGCAACAACTGTATGGGTCATTTATACCATCCGCTTTAAGTTAAATTCCAGTTTCATGGATGATAAAGATACTCTTTCAATATACTATTTGGTTAGTACTCCTTACCTCGTTACTACTCTTCCTTATAATTCAAGGATTCAGAGGTACGATCCTATAGAACAGATCCTGTTCAAGTAAGGTCGTACCTCGTTACTACTATTCATATCATTATTGCTGTTGTTACTACTATTAGTATTATATTAATGATAATGATTAGGAATTCTTGTTTTTGGTATATATAATTTCTCCTATGTTGGTAATTAAAATAAGAAAACAGGTTATACCTTGTGCTGTACTGGCTCTGGTTATCCATCCATCCACAAACCATCACATATTCAACCGTATTTGTTGGGCTTTTTGTGTGTATATGGAAGCTGTTTCAGTTCTCCCCCAGCTACATGTCATGCAGAACACAAAGGTACAACATAGAGAGCACATTCAGTAATATCTCAAGCTAGTACTTTTAGAACCTTATTACTCTGAGGTGACATGTGCATGGTTCTGTTGTTAAGGTTATTGAACCATTCACTGCGAATTATGTTTTCGCTCTGGGAATTTCAAGGTTCCTAAGCTGTGCACATTGGATTCTCCAGGTGTGATTATGCAAAATGTGTGCGTATTTCCAATTTGCTTTTTGATGTTGCTACATGTGTCTAATGTGGTTTAGTCAATGTGCTATGGAACATTCATGTAGATGATAGATTCTCGGGGAAGCTTGTTAACAGCTTTGGGTTATGGATTGTGGCCACCAATGGTCATCCTTTCTGAGATTGTCCAAACTTTTATTCTGGCCGATTTCTGCTACTATTATGTCCAATGGTATGTTTTCACCTTGAAGGGATGATGTGATCCATAGTTCAACTTCATTTTAAATATTAGTGTTATTACTATTATTATTATTGTTATTATTATTAGTATTACTCGCTCTGTCCCAAAAAATTCTTCTCACTTACATTTTGGGATACCCCAAAAAATTCTTCATATTTCCTTTATTAGAAAGTTTTGTTATTCAACCATAATCATTCATTTCTACTTTATTTCCATTTTCATAAACTCTGAACCAAGTTAAACCGGGAAGAATTTTATGGGAAGGGTATATTGTTATTATATTTCAATGGCATACTAGATCTTGTTTTTGATGTGTTTGTCAATTGCAGCCTTTTTGGCGGGAATCTAGTGATGCGCCTTCCATCTGGAGTAGTCTAACAAACTCATCTAAGTTTTGTCAAGTTGGGAGGGAACTCTTTTTGCCTCTCAATAAAAGTAGTCTACCTGAGAATACAAACATCCTGCTTGGCATCAAAGTGGGTGTAATTTGGGTTTTGCAGTTTGATTTGTTGAATCCCATTTCTTACTCAATAGGTACATATATTTTGATGGTGTCTACTGTCTAGCATGCCACAATAGGGTCATTTCTTCGTTTCGCAGTTTAGGGTTTTGTGATAGTTAGAACAAAAAAACTCTTATCAGATTGTTTGCAACATTTGCTCGTTTAGCTAATTTAGCTGATTAAGTCAAATGACTAATGTGAATGTATTATGTCTCAGCTATAAAGTGTTTGAATGAAAATGATGTACTTGAAGCTTTGTACGTACAAAAAAGGGGGAAGGTGTGTTTGTATTTTATCCCAGCTTCCAGCCAAGGGATAGAGTCAGGCCGTTCTGGTCCCGGTTCCGGACCGAGACCGCTCGGTCCAAAAAAAAATCCCAAGGCCTGACCGGGTCTGAACCGCTTTTTCCGTGTCAGGCCGGTTCTGGGTACGCGGCCAGTCTGGTTCCAGTTCCGAACCTGGTTTCCATTATATTTTTTTCCTTTTTAGCCGGCCGGAAATTAAAAAACAGGCCAGGACCGAAACCGGTACCGTAACTACCCGGTTCGGTCTCCAAAATTGGGAACCAGGAATGTGAACCGCTCCAAGGCGGTCTGCTTTGGTCCCAGGTCCAGAACCGCTCAAAGCAGACCCAGTCCGGGACTCCGGGCCCAAACCATGCCGGACTTGATTCCAGGCCAGACCAGGTCTACCCCAATTCCAGCCAATGTAATTTCATTAGTACATCTGGTAGATAAAAAATCCATCAAATCAATTTGTGCCTCAATATTCATTATTTGAGTTGTTTTGACCTTCACAGAGTTTTAAAGTGTAACTGCTTTGAAACAATTTAACTTACAGTTATTGTTATTTGAAGATAGCAAAGTAGATTGATATGATTCCATACCAAATAAGAGCAACTATTTTTGGTATTGGATTTTGAAATTTTACATATTAATTAGTTCTCCAAACTAAATCATCTTAGTCTGTGAATGGAAGTCAAATTGGTGTTCCCACATAACCATTCTTATTTGGTCTGGATTCTCTGGAACTAAAGTCTGTCCAGATAAACACATTCTCATAGCAACCCCGGATACTGGTTCCAACCGAACAAGAAAACTGAGCCACCAGTTTCACTTCGATCCGGAGCCACCTGTGAGAAAAAATCATACCATTTCACACATAATTTGGCAAAAAAAATTGCACGCAATTACATACTCATCACACTGTAATATCAAAAGAATAACATGAAGTGATACTTTTATAATCATATTGAGTGCAATATATATTCAAAATGACCTTTACAAATAATATAGAGATATTCAAACCAAAAAAATAAGCATAAGAACAAGACGGGCGAACTGTATCCAACACTCCAGTAGTACAATTACTCCAATCTAATGAAGACGAAGGTGTACCATAAGTTTTACTGCAAGGTAAAAATTGAAAACAGGGCCAAGTGCCATCTAACACCTTCACTCCTGCTTTTCCAATTCTCCCATTCTCTCTATAATGGCCTGCACTTGGTGACAAATAACTCCTCGTCAATGTCAACCCAAACATGATCTTATTATATATGTGCAAAGCGATAGCACACAGTTCGGGTAAGTCAACTATAACCTTTTTACTGGTTTCTTGGAGCTCCCCAGCAAGAATGAACTCGTCGAGAATCAGATATACCTTTTTGTAAGAAAATAATTGAATCAGAAAAAACTTCGATAATCTATACAACTTTTTAATGCAAAGAGAAACACTTCAATGATGTCAAAATGAGATATACTGTAACAAGTGCCTAACCTTGTGAAAGTTGAAAACCAAATCTAGCTCACACACGTTGCTGAAGAAATGATCCAATATTTCCACAAATAAGTGGATGCACTCCAAGTAAGCCAACTCATTGTCTGTTATATCAACACACAGCGAGAAAAACAATCCCGCATATCGCCGGTAGATAACTTTGTATGTTCGGAACTGAAGCAAAAAAACAGTGCATTACTATCTTTGAAGGTTCGTTAAAACTAAAGATTGTTATTGTACTTATAAACTAGACCAACATTTCTTTATATTACAAATCTAGAAACAGTGCCAAGGAAGAACTAACAACACTGGTGCAGGGTGCCATATATAGATATGTTTAACCAGAGATATCGTGTACATAACCAGCATGGTGAGTGCCACATGAATGGTGCTCATACCTTGAGGTCAATTTGGATGCAGGGTGGTTTTGAAGCATCTGGACTGCTTAGTCTATATCTTCATAAATAAAACGCTCCTAACCTCTTAAAGTAGGCTGGAAGTATGATTCTCCTCCTTGTCGGAGAGACCATGATATCAACTACCATACAGCCCTTAGTGGAGTGAACAGGTAGAAATCGGGTCACAGTATATAGGAGCATTCTACAGTAAGAACTACTTAGTTATGGTCATAATATGAGGTCATAATATAGAGGAGCCTTCTATATCATTGTTCTGGGTATTGAACTGCCATACAGGCTTAGAGGGGCCTTATAAAGTTATGGTCGCCACCTCATGCTCATAGTATAGATATCATGTACATGTGAAATGTTTTTTTAGTGTCTTAGACAAAACATGCTTAAATAGGTAACCACAACTTACATACCCAGCGTTTAAAGCATTAGCAGCTCTCTTCTTATATAGTTATATGTTTCCTCATGTTCTATGCTAACACACTTCTTTAATTTCTTTAATTTCAGCACATTTCTTTAATTGTTTTTATCTCCACACTAACACACTAATCCAGAAGTGAAAATTGATTCATTTCTCTCACTCCTATGCAAGTATAATATACTCCTAGTTTATAATAGAGCACATTCAACTATCTCCTTCCCTCTAATTTACTTTGAAGTGGACCACAAAGGAAACATATACAATTATTATTGGCTCATTCTCAGTACATATGTTTTTTTTTATCATCTCAGTACATATGTTATACACAGAAGATCTAATATTTGTGTATACAATTAAACTTTGAGGGTGAAAAGTTGCAGATAAAATGCTTACAGAAAAAAGATGATTCACATCAGGTGAGTGGAAAATTAAAGTGAAATTTCACCAAGGATCGGGGTAAGGTCGTAAGGAAAAAGAAAGGCTTTGGCATACACACACCTCGACAAAGTTGGTGAATTTGGGATCTCTGTTCACAACCAATCTGTGAACCTGAACAATGAACAAAACGTAGGCCGTCAGTCTTAGAGGACCAGAACTAATTCGAAATTTAAAGCAACGTAACGAAATCAAGACGAATATATTACCTCGTATTCGACTTTGTGCTTCTCAGATTCCTCAAGAGGAATGTAATACTTGGCCAATCGCGTCTTTCCTTGTCGGTTCTGGAGCAGTATGAATCGGATCTGGCCATTCCATGTATATATGTTAACAAAATAGATTTATAACCACTTATCCGGAAGATTGTACCGTAAAATTTTCAAACAGTAATGATCAAAACCTGTGCATACCATTTTAAAAGGACAAACTAGATGAGAATAATTGCTCGAGTTGATTCAGGCACGCGCTGGAAATGAAAAGCTTGCCCCCTTCCCTTTGCCGCCGGTTTGGAGCGTAGGCTGGAGATTCAGGATAGACTGAAATGAGAAGTCAGAGAGTTCAGAACGGAGGACCGAGACGAATTATTTTTTTGTTGGGAAAAGTGTTTGAAGCTGTTCGATGTTTTGAGTCTAGTTTATTCATGCCAAATTTCAGCTAAAACTTCAAATTTCAGCTAAAACTGCGCATTTAACTGCACAGTTATCTTCAAGTTGACCTTTTAACTGCGCATTCTTAGATAACTGCGCATTTAACGACGGCCGGACAGAGCCACCTATATAAGGACTTATTTAACCTTTTTATGAAAATTCGAAGACCTATTTAACACTTTTCCTCTTTTTTGTTTGTTTAGTTTGTTTTGGAGCTTTAACTTCAATTCAATTAAAATAACGTTAATGAAAAAAGATTATTTTTCATATTTTTCATAAATGAACAAAAAATGAAACCCTTACTCATTTCCTCTCAATAGGATTCTATCAATTTTCATTCTCCATCCCATTAAATTTATCTCATATTATACTCAATAATATTTATATAAGTTTAGTTTTTACCTATTCTATTCAAACTTTATTAATTCAACCAATCACATAATTTAGGAAAAATTCCCGAAATATGAGCAAAAACATTTGAATTTTCCAAAATAGGACTGTCATGTTTTATTCCCTAAACAAGAGTAATTACTGCTAACCTTGAAAAATATTGTCAAGTCTAAAGTCTGGTATTGTCAAACCAAGTCAATAATTACTCATATTATGAATAAAAATATACGAAGTAATAGTCTTATTTTGAAATACACAAACATTTTAGTTTTAGTCTTATTTAGGGTAATTTCTTCATAATTTAACCTCTCTTTAAAATTACACTACCACCTCTTACTACATCTTAGTTGTCTTGTTGCTGCCGTCCTACCATGTTCATCTCGTTTAATAGCCCCCAATCCAATTACACGATCCTTAAAATTGGTTGTGTCACACTTCACTTTTACCAATTTGGTGAGAGGTTTGCTCCATTTTCCATACCTTAGTTCTAATTTGGTGTAGTGTGGGGGAAAGTTAAAGTTCAAGACAATTTAGTCTTATCTCATCACTTCACTTTTTTAAAAAGAAAATCCTATTTGTGTCAATGGAAAGATGAAAATTGATTTTAGTCGCTTTATTTTTGGTTTATCTTTTAATTAATTTGTTTTGTCGAAATGAACAGTTATAAGAATGGCCACATCAAAATATTTATTAAGAATATGTTTACTTCATATATAGTTAAGCTCAGTGTTAGTTAAACACATTCGAAGTAAACAATTTTGTAGACAAATCTACTTAGTCAACATTTTTTATATCCTAAAGTGTTGCTTGATAAGCATCTCATCCCTCACATTTTACTAGAACAAGTTAACCTTTTTCATTGATAAATATATTTAACTTTTTTCATTGATAAATATATTTAACTTTTCTCATTGATAAATATACTCTCCCGCATTCCTTACTCAGCTCCACACACAACTCCTACCATACCCTTGCACCTCACAATGAAACTCGGCGTAGCATTCCTTACTCCACGCATAACTCTTACCCTACCCTCGTACACCACTACTCTATCCCCACCCCACCCATAACCCTACCTATCCCAACCCTCACCCCTATCCCTACCATATTCCACCCCTACCCACCCCATCTGCCCATGCTTCCACATCTCCCATTTTTTAGATAGGTAGACCCATTTTACCTTGGGCCAAATAGTCACATTCCATTGTTAATATTACATTCATCTTTCCAAGCAAATTTTGATTCCAGCCTTATAAAGAAGTCTTGGCAATGAATGACCTTTTACCAAAAATCATTGATTACTATCCAGCATCGATATTTTTCTCAAACATCCTTTGTGCGCTCGTCGCTCTATTCCCTTCACATACATCAACGAGCACCAACCAACCAACCAACCACCGAATCGACCATATCAATCACGCCAATCTTCCAATCAACCTAGTAGGACCAAACTTCACCCCTTTGCAATGACCCCCAGACCCCCGATGTGGCGATGTCCCACCTAGATCAATCACCACTCGTGAAGGCGCATTGTCACTCACTAACGCGATCAATATAGCAAAAACAGGCATCTGAAAAGTTAGAGCTCACAACCCTAGCTAACGTAGGGTTTCCCCCGCCCTCGTTGAAGGCATTAGCATAAATCACAACCAAGTATATAAGCGAAATAAGTCCCAAATTTCTGATGACAAAGTTTGCCGCACATAAACTCTGCATGAGAGACCTCGCAAGGCACGACCGTTCGATTCCTAATGTACCAACAATTACATCTAAGTTACTCTTTAGACACCTAAAATTGACAAATAATATGTAGTCATGTATGGGCCAGTTTGAATAGTTACATGTTGCTTCACTAATAGATGCTGAATACTTGCATTTTCTTTTATGTTAATCTTTTGTGTGGATAATTGGTGACAGTGACATATACCACCCCGTACCTATATATACAATCTTGTTTTAAAATGGTAAATTGGTATAAATGGTACGATAACAACTGATTTCGGCATGAACGTGATCACTTCGATCTGATCCTATATTATAGGGATAAAGGTCAATTTTGACACTATATTATATGAGAATCTTATATTGGACATTAAGGTTTTAAATGGACTAATTGGACACTATGATTATTTTTGTATTTCATATCGGACACTAAAGTTTCCAATGAATCAAATTTAATGTTTTTCTGATCATTTTCGGACACCCACCAATGATTTTAACGTTTGAAAGTTATAAGTATTCTTTTTTCCCTTTGTTTTATGTAGCTAAAAATGAAAAAAACTTAATTCATGTATTTAGATTTAGAATATACGAAGTATAATTAGATGTTCCAATTAAGAAAATCTATTATAGTGTAATTGAATTCTTCAATATTGTTAAATCAATTTAACAAATCGATATATTTCTTGAGTTCCCTAAAAATCATATGAATGAAAAGTCCTAACTATATTTTAAAAAAGTGTTAAATACGTACAAGAAGTTACAGTATTAATTAAAATCAAATTATACTCCCCCGTCCCTTAAAACTTTGCAAACTTTCTTTTTTGGATGTCCCATTGACTTTGTCACTTTCCCTTTTAAGTAAAATTCTCTCTCCTCTGCACAATTCTCAACTATACAATATTTACTTTATTAATTCCCGTGCCGATCAAACTTGACAAAGTTTTAAGGGACGAATGTAGTATATTCTAAAACCTAATTTTAAATATTCCAAAATTATATATATATATATAATTAAATTAGTTTATTTTCACAAAAAGGAAAGGAAATATAAGACTAACGATTTTTATTAAAAGAAGAACATAATCATAAGTGAGTGTCAAAAAACTATGAATTATGAAATTTTAGTGTCTAATATGAGATACATATGTAATCATAGTATTATTAGTATCCAATTTGGTCCATTTGAAACCTTAGTGTCATGAAATCATAGTGTCCAATTTGACCTTATCCCTATATTATAATTACGTATTTGTATAGTAAAAAATATGTAGTATGTGTTTTCGAAATCTATAAGCCTCTCTCAAAATACATATGAAAATGAGAAATGGGGACAGGGGACATACTTCAATTCTGAGCATCTACCTTATTTTGACTAATACTCCGTATTTGAAAAGAAACAGTCTGTAAAACCGAGTCATCGACTCAATCTCTTGGACAATAATGTAGTTATGCACACAACTATATTTTACCCTGAAATAACCATTTCAATGTTTTTATCAGACAAATATATAGTCCGTAGTTTTCTGTTTTACATATAAAAATCGTAGTTGAAAAAAAATTATAAACTTGTAAGTAATGTTGATATTCTATAATACTCCCTTCTCACTTTACACTTTCTTTTTTTGGAAGTACCATATTAAACTTTACACTTTCTTATTTGCTTTACAAATCTACACCAAATAGTGCGAAATTGTGTCAAACAATGACAAACAGTGTACTCAAAAGTAAAGTCAAATTTATTTTTCTTAATATGTGTGAAGTCAAAGTGTCAGTTTATTAAGAACTAGAGGAAATATACCGGTACTCCTTATTAGGGGTGGGCAAAAATACCGAACCGGCATGATACCGAACCGGACCGGTATGGTACCGGACCGATAAACGGGGTTTGAAACGGATCTCAAAAATTTTTGTCCCGAACCGGACCGAACCGGTTCCAAACAATGCCATGACCGGTTCTCATAAAATGAGAACCGGTACCGGACCGAACCGGACCGAAGTATGATTTATTAAATTTGTACTACTATAGTTTATCTAAAATATATTAATTACCTCATCCGTCCCAAATTGATTTGCAAAGCCAACATTTTTTGTCAAAGTTAATGTTAAGTTCTTGATAATTAATACAATTTTTAATAATTAAAATTTACATATTTAGAAACCACATTAAAATCTCTCTAAAGTTGCAAAATCCAAATTAAAATATACGAAGTACGGAGTAGTTTCTTTGAAAGGCCAAATTAGAATATAATTAAAAGTGAAATTCTAATTAAGTGAATAAAAAGAAATTGTTTGACCAAAAAAGATTGACTTTGCAAATCAATTTGGAACGAAGGTAGTATAATATATGAAAATTGATAAATTGTGTGGATTTTTTGGAGGATGGCTAAACTTTAATTTTTTCTTAAACACCTGGAAAAAGTGGCATTGTTTGGTATTGGTATGGCATGGTACCGTCCCGTTTGAAAATGGACCGTACCGAACGAGTTTGGGTCTAAGACCGAACCGTACCGAACCGTTTCAATAGTAACGGTACGGGTACGGCCAAATATTGGACCGGACCGGACCGTGCCCACCCCTACTCCTTATTGTCTAGACTAGATTTAGGGAGTGTTTGCAATCGCTTAAAAAAAGCACTTATCAGCTTTTGGCTTAAAAAAGCACTTATTTACCAAACACTACCAATTTTTACTTTTTCTCGGCTTGCGTGTGAAAAGTGCTTTTCCCCCTTCTATTACACAAAAAACACTTATTTTACCAAACACTATCAACTTTTACTTTTCAAAATCACTTTTTTCTCAAACACTATCAACTTTTCCTATTAATCACTTTTTCCTTACATCTCTAAAAGTATTTTTTTTAACAGAAG